AATTTGCCACACTTGTCACCTGCCTCCCTTCCCAGAATGGGGGGAAGTTCTTGCTCCAGTGAGTTTGATTTGAGCGGGACTTACTTTCCAGAATTTTGCACTTGATATTGCCATAATAGCTAGGTATGAAAGACATAGGTTTGTGCTTTCATTTAGTCCTTCTCTCATTCAGATATTACTGAAAAATAACTTCCTTCTAGTTCAGCCTCTGTCTACAAAGGCTTGCACTCTTTGTTTTGAGCTTCAAACTTGCCTTTTGCAAAAGAAGATCTCTTTATTTTATTTAACAGCCAATGGGAGTAGAAGGCCTCTAATCATACACAGTACTGTGTGCTGTGTGCCATGTGCTAAGTTGCATCAGTTGTGTCCAATTCCTTTGTGACCCTAAGGACTATAGCCCACCAGGCTCCTCTGTCCATGGCGATTCTCCAGACAAGAATACTGGAGTGGGTTGCTGTGCCCTTCTCCAGGAGATCTTCCTGACCCAGGGTTCAAACCCTCATCTTTTACATCTCCTGCATTGTCAGGTGGGTTCTTTATCACTAGCACCACCTGGGAAGCCCAGTACCTCTCTATAAAGGTGTGCCCTTTAAAATATGTGTCAACAATGCCATAGTTTTTGAATGATATTAATAATTTATTTGAGAACTAAAGCAGCTATATCAAATTATGGCCTGGGGGTTCCCAAGTCCCTTCAGAAGATCTCTGAATTAAAAATTACTTTAAAATAATACTAAACTATTATATGTCTTTTTCATTCTCATTCTTTCATAAGTGTTTAGTGGAGGTTTCCAGAGGTAACAGGTTACATGACATGCGACACAGCAAAAGACTGAATGAGGAGGCAGATATCGGAATCCAGCTGTCCTCTATGAAGTCAGACATTAAAGGTATTTGCAAAAATACAAAACAATATTACTCTTCTCACTATTTTTTTCAAAATGTAGTTCTTTTCATAAAAAGTATATAATTTATTTTTGCATGCAATGTGTTTATTCTTGTTATTTTAAATAAGTTGGTTAATTTTTTCAGTTTTCACTTCTAGTACAGTAAATATCAATAGATAAAACCCACATACACACAAGTTCTTTGGGGTCTTCAATACAAATACAAATGGGCCCTCAAAATAAGAGAACACTATATAAGACACATTATACATACTACATTATTCTTCAAAAATACCCTATGAGGCAAATATTTTTATCCTTATTTTATAGAAAATGAAACCAAGACACAAGAGAGTAAATAATTTGCCCAGAATCTAATCATCGGACACCAAAGCTCATTATTTCTCCCCACGCTCTCTTGCTCCTGTTATTAAAGCTGGCCTTATGGTTGGCCTACTTGTGAGACTGAGTATAGAAATGGACAATGGGCAGACCATATATAAAAATAAAACTTTGACCCACAACCTGTAGCAAGCTGCCAGGAAACCACTCCACTTATCTCCAATAAACAACCCAGGATGCCAGCCTGCTATTAGACTCACAGGAAACTAGATTGCTATCTCTAGCAATGATCCAAGAAGCTATTAATAAATAAAAATTTTGTAAACAACTGATTCAAATGAGTCAGGAATCCTCATCACTCAAATGGGACAAGTGGCACAGTGTCCCCTCTTTCTTTTAATGAAAGTATAGTTGATGTACGATACTGCATTCGTTTCAGGTATACAACACAGTGATTCAACATTTTAGCTTCAGTTCCGTTCAGCCGCTCAGTCGAGTCCGACTCTTTGCGGCCCCATGGACCGCAGCACGCCAGGCCCCCTGCCCATCACCAGCTCCTGGAGTTGACTCAGATTCGTGTCCATTGAGTGGGTGATGCCACAGCTCACGCTTCATCAGAGCGACTGTAAAGTCCTGGCCAGACCCCTGTGCCGCACGGTGCGTGCTGGTAACTGGTTTTGCGCGCAGTGTCCGCACCTCTCAAGCCCCTCCCTGTCCCTCCCCAGCATCCCACCAGTTCGTTCTCTGCATGCGTGAGTCTGTTTCTGTTTTCTTATATGCGTATACATTCGTTTTGATTTTTAGATTCTACATACAAGTGAGCTCATGCACTATTTGTTTTTCTCTGACATTTCACTAAGCATAATACCCTTCATGTCCATTCACAGTGTTGCAAATGGCCTATTTCAGTGACAACCTGGGGGACTGAATGAACAGGTGCAGGTGGAGCAGAGAGGTCTCTGCTTAGCCTGACTCACCCAAGAAGAGAGAACAGAGGAGACCCACAGAGAGAAGGGCCATGGGGTGCCCGCAGAGGGTGGCTCAGAGGAAGAATCGCTTCCCATTTGGATGGCCCTGCCTTGATCTCTCCTGCTGGTTGCAGATCTGTGACCTGTGACCTTTGGAGAAACACTGTATAACTTGTTTTTTTCTCCTTCTCAGTGGATTAAGCTTAATTTCGCTTTGTAAGTTGGCAGCTCTGCCCAATATAACTAAAGATGCCAAGGGAGCTGAAAAGCCAACCTTGGAGACACTGGTTCTGGACTCAGCCAGTGTCCCTCACAAGAGCCCAAGCCCCGGTTTCCGGGCCTGCCAGCTTCCCCTTTCTCTGGAGGCTGCTCCCCTGCCTTCCCTCCCCCTCCTCCCCAGGTACTCCCTTTCCCCTCCAGGAGATGGCTGGGGACAGAGGTGAGGGCTGCCCTCGTTGGCAAGTTTTGGAACCCACGTCTGGCAGAGAGCAGTGCCATCATTTCCAAAGCAGGAAACCAGGTCTCCTCCCAAAGCTCTGAAGTTTATAATTATAAGCAACTATCTTTGTTATTTCAATCTCTGTTTCATGAGCTTTTGGGTAAAAACATTTGAGGGCCTGTTTTCATGGCACTTTCTTCTCTTTGACATGTCCTACTTGGCACTTAATTAGCTCAGGGAGGAGGCGTATACCTGGGTCATTTTCTGCAGCCCCCACCCCGCACGCAGCCCAGCCAAGGAAGCATGGGGCTCTCTCTGTTGCTCGTGTGCATCTCCAAGGCTGCTTCCCAGGTGGCTCGGTGTAAAGAGCCGGCTGGCTGGTGCAGGAGATGCAAGAGATGCAGATTTGATCCCTAGGTTGAGAAGATCCCCTGGAGTAGAAAATGGCAACCCACTCCAGTATTCTGGCATGGGAAAATCCTGTGGACAGAGGAGCCTGGCAGGCTACAGTCAAAGAGTCGGACACAACTGAGCAACTAAACACGTGCATGCAGACATCTCCAAGGGAACATCTTGCCCTAACCCAGGACTGACACAGGCTTTTTGTGACTATCCCAGCCTTCCTCCCATTGGGTTGGCAGTGCGGGGACAGTGTCACTGAGTCTCAGGACATGCCGGGAGCCACAACACACACAGGAACCGCTCAGCTACTCTAGAGCAGGGCACACCCGGGCTCCACCCCGCGAGGCGCTGGCAGAAGCCAGCAGAGAAACATCCCCCCAAGGGCATGTGCTAAGCTCAACCTCAGGAGCGGGTGTGTCTGGGGCCCCGGGCAGGGAGGGCCAGCCTGACCTGCGGGTGGTGGTGTGGCCCCGGTGGGCCCGCTGGGCTTCCGCCAGCCCCTCTCTCAGCTCTGCCTACCCGCCACGATGGCCTCAGCTTGGGCAGCACCCCTCTCTTTACCGGCTCCTTGCCCTTTAGATTCCAGCTCCATCCCCTCCCCAACCACACCCCCAGAGCAGCTTTCTCCGATCTTCACATCTAAGGCAAATCTCCCTACTTTTGGATGTCATAGCAAATCTTGTTCCTCTTCTTTGTAGCATTTTTCACGGTTGTCACGTCACATGTGTATCTGAGACGACTGAGCAAATGCCAACCTTCCCCATGAAACCAGGACCCACGTGGGCAGGGGTCACACCTGTCTCACATCACCTCCTCGGTGTGAGCAGAGTAGCTGACACACGGGGTACCCTGCAAACACGCGTGGAGGGAGTGATGAAGGGATGGGAGATGGCACGAGGCTGCTGTGTCCATCCCAGCAGGGGATGCCCGCCTGGCCGGGCCTGCACAGTGACGTGGCCATGCCTGCGAGGGCTTCCCGCCTGTGAGACTCTCAGCTTCCTGGGGGGCAGACATAAGGCTTTTCCCACAATAGTAAAACCCTTCATGAGGGGAACAGCCTCTCTTTCATTTAACTGGGAGCTTCTGACGAAGGAGCAACCCCCAGAGACTTAGTGTCAGTGGGGTGTAGAATAAGAAGGCTCCTGGGTGGAGACTGAGCAGAATTCAGAACTAAGATCTCTGTAAAATGGGTGGTTTTAAGTTAAAATAGAACCATATTCAAAGATGTGCTTGCTAAGCCATAGCACCTGCTGGACTGTGTTTTGACCATTATGTGCTATTTCTGGGGTCAGACTGAGGGATTGTGGGGGAATCTACAGTTGGGAGAGTTGGACCAAAAAGAAGAATGAGCAGTGAAGAACTGATGATTTCAAACTGTGGTGCCAGAGAAGCTCGTGAGAGTCCCTTGGATAACAAGGGGAGCAAACCAGTCAATCCTAAAGGAAATCAACCTTGAATATTTACTGAAAGGACTGATGCTGAAGCTAAAGCTCCAATACTTTGGCCACCTGATGTGAAGAACTGACTCATTGGAAAAGACCCTGATGCTGGAAAAGATAGAAGGCAGGAGGAGAAGGGGATGACAGAGGATGAGATGGCTGGAAGCCATCTCCGATTCAACGGACACGAACTTGGGCAAACTCTGAGAGATGGAGGCCTGGCGTGCTGCAGTCCGTGGGGTTGAGAAGAGTCAAACACGACTTAGTGACTGAACAACAACTACAGAGTGCAGAGCAGGAGGCCCGGGGGGGACAGAGAACACGAGAATAGCCCTCCCGCTTGTATTCTAGAGGGTCGTCACCGCCAGGCAGAGGTTTGGGCGGGAGAGCTTCCTGGCCATGTGCAGGATGCCGCCTGACCCCGGCCAAGGCTCCCACTTTGCGGGGACTCCTTCAGGGAGGGCGTCTGCTGGTCGTCATGCTGCAGGGGTAAGGTGTGAAAAATGTGGTGGTGGCGTGGTACTCACAGCTCTGTCACGTCCTTGGGGATGCCTTTGGGAAGGGCACGCAGCCCCCGGTTGCTACAGCGCACCACCGTCTCCACACAGGTGCACTGCTCGGGGCAGCGCGGGCCCAGCTGGCAGCTGCTCTCATCATTGCCTGCGGAGAGCCGGCGGTGAGCGAGGCAGGAGAGGGTGAGCTCGGCCCGCTCCCCGACCCAGCTGCCACAGTGAGGGGGAGCCCTCAGCTTCCAGCCTGAACTGGGGGTAAGGAGCTTACTGGTCTCCTCCGTGGTTGAAGGGAAAGGAGAGGCGCTTGGGTTGGGAAATAGGGCTGTCTTCTCCCATGTTTATCACAAAACAAAGATGCTAAAAACTTTATTAATCAGATACTAGAAAGGGAAGCGGTCACTGTTAACCAGCTCAGGAGTAAGCCAAATGGGGACTTCCCTGGCAGGCCTGTGGTTAAGACTCTGTGCTTCTACCGCAGGGGCGCGGGTCTGACCCTTGCTAGGGTGACCAAAGGAGTAAGCCAAGCTGACTGAAGGGGTGGTCCCGGTGGGGCAGGCCTGTCCATTCCCCCCACCCCTCCTGTTCTCCACATCTTCCACTACACAATCCCTCTGGGGTGGTGACTGTGTCCCCAGCCCCCGTTATACCTGAACCTCAGTTAATTTACAAACCAGGTTGTCCATCTCTAGTTACCTAAAGTTGACCCAATAAAAACTGTGCTGGCCTGAATTTATGCAAAGAAACATGTGTCTCTGTAATCCTAACGCTCAAAGCCTTGGATCTTCAGGTGTGGTACTGCCTAGCCCAGGACAGGAATTTCCCAGAAGCTCATCTTGAAGTCTGTTTCTCATGAGCACCTGCTCTGAGCCTCATGATGATGCAGGCAGGAAAACTGCAGGCCAGGGCTCCCATGTACAGTTGTGTAGGTGGCGTACTGCTCAAGGGTGCCCCATCATTTAACGGGTACCAAACTCACTGTGGATACAGCAGATTAGGATATCTGGTTCAAGAGTGTCTTCGGAAATGGCCACAAAGTATCTTGCTTTAACAAAAGCAGTATCTTACAACAGATTTCTAACTGATGGAAGTCTTAAGGTCTTTAGAAAGAGGCAACCATTTTTAATTTGCATGATGGAGCTGTGTGGGCCAGGAAGCAGGCCTGGAGAGCCCTTCAGAGCTCCGGCTGCCCGCCGCGGGCAGAGGAGACTCAGATTTCAGGGGTCCTGACCTGCAGTTACCCCTGCTCGCACCTCCCTTCTCTCCTCGCTTCCTTACCTAGCCCGGCCCTGCCCCCAGCCGCCTCACCGTCACAGGTGAAGTCCTGGATGGCCACGTCCTGGATGGGAATCTCTTTGAGGAAGAAGGGCTTCTGGCACCGGGGGTTCCCGCTGACGATCCGTCTCTTCCTCAGCCACTTGCCGAGCCAGGCCAGGTGGCAGTTACAGTTGAAGGGGTTGGAGAGCAGGTTTCTGGGAGGAGAAAAGGCCCCCTCTGAGTGCTCAGCGTCTCTCCTGGTCCCAGGAGGGCTGGTCCTGGGACCCAGGTCTGCAAGCCTAGAACCTGGCTCTCCAGGAAGGTCAGCTTCCAGTGCAGGGGAATCAGGAAAGAAGAAGAAAGTCAGGAAAAGGAAGCCAGACTCTTCTAAATCCCAGGGGCGGTCTCTGCAAGGATCTCATGCTAGACCTCCGCGGACAGACAGGACTCCGTCTCCTGCGACGCCTCCCTTGTTTAATGGGCTTTACCTGTATGAACCAACTCAATTTCTCACACTCAGAGCCTTCACTTGAAGCTGCTCCTCCAGTCTGGAATGAAGTTCTCTACCATGTGCCTGGCTCGTCCCTCAGCTTAAATGACCCCTCCCCAAAGAAGCCCTGGGCTTCCCAGCTGGTGGGAGTGATAAATCTGTCTACCATGCAGGAGACGTGGGTTTGATCCCTGGGTTTGGAGGATCCCCTGGAGGAGAGCATGGCAACCCACTCTAGCATCCTTGCCTGGGAAATGCCATGGACAGAGGCGCCTGGTGGGCTGCCGTCCATGGGGTCGCAGAGTCAGACACGACTGAAGCGACTGAGGACACGAAGAAGCCCCTCATCTCAAGGGAAGTGGGAAGTTCTGCCCTGTTCTGTTCTCACTTCAGTCGCCTGCATTTCCTCCACAGCACACGTCAGAGCTGATAATGCCTCCCTCCTCAGACTCGCTGAGAGGAGGGACCAGGCCTGTCTGTCCTGCTCTGTGCCTCCAGGAACCAGCAGGACATCAGCATGGGCACTTGACACATATCTGTCAGATGCGATGATGGACGGACAAGGGTTGGAATGGGGCTGAGTGCTTTATAAACTCATTCTCTTATTCAGACTTGTCATAGCAACCCTAGGAAGGACGTGACATGCTTCTCACTTCACAGTGAGGGACACAGAACGTAGGGAGGTTGAAGGACAGGGCCAGAGAGCCCCAGAGGGGCTGCGGTTTGACATGGCAGTTGAGGGCTTGGGAGTCGGTCCTTCCTGGGGTTGACTCTGGCTCTGAGAGTCAGCAACTGTGAGAAGGCGGGTAAGCTCCTCCTGACGGAGTCGGTTCCCTCATTGCTCTGTGACTCTAGCCCTCTGGGTGTCTTTTGTGGTTATGGATTCCCAGGGTACAGGCAGCCAGGAGAGGTGAGAAGTGGGCTGAAATAAACCGACCCACCCACCCTGCTAGTTCCTTACCCATTGTCCTCCATGTTGACGTCACTCATTCATTCAACTCATTCACTTGTTCAACAACTATAGAACGGGTATTACTGAGTGTCAGGCTCAGATGTACGCAGTGAGGATAGAGCAGTGAACCAAACTGTCATATATCCCTGTTCTTCTTCCTTCTGGAACTTATATTCCAGCTGATGGGAGGCAGATAGTTTCTAATTAAGAATACTGGAGTGGGTAGCCATTACCTTTTCCAAGGGATCTTCCTGACCCAGGGATTGAACCGTGTCTCCTGCACTGCAGGTAGATTCATCACCATCGGCGCCAGCAAGGAAGCCCAACCACAGAAAGTGAGGGGCCTTTAGCACATTCCGGAATTTGGCTTTTATTCCCAGCGAGGTCAGTGTCTGGGATCGTGAACATGGGCAGCTACAGGAGATGCAGGAATAGCTTTCTCTTCTGTCTACCAAAGGGTCTTTGGAGAAAAGAAGAGAGGGAAAAAAGAGCGAGCAACTGAGGGTAACAGAGCCACACGGAAATATGAAGACAGCCATAAGAGCTGACACACGCTGAGCACTCTCCCTGTCTCAGGGCCCTGCTGTGCATGTTGCAAATATTAACAGGTTCAGTCCTCAAAACAGTCCCATGAGGATTGTGAGAAGTGATAACAGAAGCACAGAGAGGTGAAGTAACTTTTCCAAGGTCACATGGCTAACATGAGGAAGACCTAGGATTTGGAGCCAGAAAATTTGGCTCTAGAGTCCAAAGTTTTCACCATTATTCTAGACAGCCTCCCTTAGCAATGCAGTGAATTTTGTGGGCAGGAACACTCATCCAGAAAGCTAGATTCTAACTGGTTCTGATACACATTTAAGCAGTCAGTGACATCACTTAAAAAAATCCCTGTCAGATCATGTCACTGGCCTGCTTAAAACCTTTGCTGGATTCCTAACATGCTCTGGTTAGAAACCAAATGGCCCACGGCTGTCCTGCAGCCTGGCCCTGGCCTCCCCTCCAGCCTTGCCCGCTCTGTATATGACCATGTCAGGCATTGCCCAGGCCTGCATCGCTGCTCTGCTTTAACCCAGGGCCTTTGCACATGCTCTTCCCAATGAAGGAAATGCACTTTCCACTTTCTTGAACAATCTAATTCGCACTTACCTTCCAGAACATAGCTCCAGAGTTCCTTGACAAGGCCCATATTAGGTTTTCATATCACTGTGGGCCTTTGAACTGTGGCAGCTCACTATGCTCTGAGCTCCAGGAAGCAGGGCCCACATCTGTGCCTCCTTAACATTTAATGGTGCCTGGCACATGGAGGGAGCCTGACACATGTTTAAGTTGACAGATGGAGAGATGACTTTGGGTCAAAGACAGTCAGGCGCTGGGAGGGGAGAGGGGTGCAGGAGAGGTACCCAGAGTAAGTGTCCGGTGGGTCCAGGGAGACTTACATGGTGGATAGGGAGACAAGTGTGGTGAAGGCTCCGGGGGTGATGGTGGTGATCCGATTGTCGTAGAGAGAGAGCAGCCTCACTGAGCTCAGGCCAGCAAAGGTGTCATTGCTCACACAGCTGATCAGGTTACTTCTCAGCATCCTGCAGGGAGAGGGGTGTGGAGAACAAGCAGAGGCATCGTCTTCCCTCCCACCCTCTCCGTGTGTGAGTGTGTCTGTGAGTGTGTGTGTCTGTGTCTGTGTGTGTGAGTGTGTGTGAATGAGTGTAGGGTGCTCCTTTTTCCTGCCCATGGGTGTGTGTGTGTCTACAGTGCTCTTTTTGCCAACTCCACGCTCAGACCAGTCACGATGCTGAGGTCTGCCATGTGATAGCTGGACCTGGGGCTACCTGTAAATGTGTGCACACATTCTTGGCTGTGGATGCTTTATTTATAGTAGAAGCAGGTGTCACGTGCATATACGTATACACATGCATATTGTATGGTGGTTAGTGTATGTGTGGATATTTTGGGGAGGAGGGGAGAATCAGGATGTGGCTCTGGACATCAGTTTGTGTGTGTTTGTGTGCTGATATACACATGCCTATTTGTGTATGTGTTTATCTGCGTGTTGCATGTATGTCTCTATGTCATTTTATGTTCCTGCAACACGCCTATGTTTGCGTAAATGTGTGCCTGTTTCAGGTATGAATCTGCATCAGTGTATATGTGAGGGCGAGTGTGTGTGTGTGAGTGTGTGTGTGTGTGTGTGTGTGTGTGTGTTGGGGGTGCATGCTAAGTTCTTTTCCGTTCAGGGCTGGGAAATGCCTACCATCTCTCTGGTGAAAGGAAGGAAAGGATTCCACCGCACCGCCCAGGCCAGCGCCAGGCCCCACGGGCTCCCGCCAGCCCTTATTGGTCCGGCCCCGGCCTCTCCAGCTCCCTCCCTCTGGCCTCGGCCCAGGTCCCAGGGACTCACAAGGTCTTGAGGCCACTGAGGCCGCGGAACGCGCGCCCGTGCACCGTTTCCAGCTGGTTCCCCGTCAGCATCAGCTCCTGCACGCTGGCCGCACCGTCAAATGCGCCCTCCCTCACCTCCTTGATCCTGTTGTTACTCAGATTTCTGGAAGGAGGGACAGAACAGGTCAGGGCTCAGGGCAGGAACAGCCAGCCCTGCAGCCACGTGGTGACTCTGGGGTGCCCCCAGGACTGAAGACTGCCTGGGGGAGGCTCCATCTTGAGCTTCCTGACCTTCGGTCTTCAGCACCCATGCCCCAGGAAGCAGGGAGCCCAGACCCACATGGGGTGGGTGGCGAGGTTACCTTCATGAAACAGACTGTGTAGTGTTTGAAGTCTTTCAGTACGATTCTCTTTTCTGTGCCCCGGGGGACTGGCAGATTTAAAATGGTTCTCAAACTTATTTTCTGTCTTTAAAAGATACTCTAAGTAGTGATGCTCAAGACGAGAGCAGGAGAAAAATATCAAACATGACTACTCTCTATGTGGGTGAGGTATTTGTAGAACCTTCCGCTCTTCATCATGATATTCCCGATATAAACGGACCCTATTTACTTACTACTTCTTGTGCACTTATTATGTACTAGGCACCATGGGAGGGGTTTGGTCAACAGAATCACATCAAATCCTCAAAATAATGGCCATCAGATGAATATTATTTTTATCATTGTCTTATTTTCTGGATGAGGTGACTGAGATTCAGAGAGGTTAGGTAACTTGCCCACAGTCACACAGCTGAGAGCAGTGGGATTGAAGTTCAGGCATTTAAGCATGTATAAAAGCCTCCAGCGAACTGCTTTTCCTAACTGGATATTCTTTTGGCGATGTGGATGCCCACCCCTTCTATCAGGGCTCTGCAGGATTCAGGGTTTGGGACACCGTGTTTTCCTAAGCGGGCTCAGTCCTATTAAACCACTTCCCATTCCGCTCTGGAGCTCAGACAGCAGGCTCTTCCCTGCTACGGCCAACACCACGAGGCAGGGTGTATGGGAGAGCCGAGTGGCAGGCAGGTACTGTAGAGCTGTAGGTGCTGTGAGGGGAAGGGGTTCTCCACAGACCACTCAAATGCTCAGGCCTGAACGGCAGCCCTGGCTGGCTGGCTGGAATGGAAAGGGATGGGTTTACAGGAGCTGAAAGAAGAATCCAGCCTCCTCAGCAAACAGCCTGGGAGACCTTATTCTATGACCGGGAGACTTGTAGGTGGACACGGAGTTGCTGACTGGCTGAGTGCCTTGAGCTTACTAGAACCGAGGGCTGGTGAGAGAGACAGCTGGCCCACTGCCTTGCTGGATACACTGAGGCCCAGGGCAGGGAGGGCACTGCTCCTGGGCCCAGAGCACCGAAAGGCAGATAGCACTCCATGGGCCCCTGGTACTACTGCTTCTCTCAAGGGTCCTCCTCGCGGAGCCTGGGGCTGACCCGTGGCCCCCCACCCTGTGGGGATGTGTGAGTGCAAGCTAAGTCACTCTGCTGTGTCCAACTCTCTGTGACACTATGGACCGTGGCCCGCCAGGCTCCTGTCCACGGTATTCTCCAGACAAGAACACTGAAGTGGGTACCCATGCCTCCTCCAGGGAACCTTCCGGACCCAGGGATCGAACCCGCATCTCTCTTGTCTCCTGCATTGACAGGCGGGCTCCTTACCACTGACACCACCTGGGAAACCCCATGGGGACGGTTCAGGGCAACTGAAGTTCAGCTGGGCACCCCGCGGCTCGGTGCAGGCTGCTCGCCCCCTTCACACACAGGCACTGGGTCTGCCGGGGTGGCCGTGCCCACAGCCATGTACAGGCATCAAGGAAACAGTTCCCACGGCCGCAGCGTCTGCTTCCTCCGTGCTCCCAGTCAAGGCCTTTCTCACTTCCCCTCATCCGTCCTGCTGAGAAAACGGGCTCCAATGCTGCTCTAACCGCTCCCCCGAGATTGGAGCGAGCTGGGAGATTCTCAGACTAGATTTCTGCTCCCTGCCTGACTCTTCTGAAACTCAGCTGGTTTCCTTATAAATCCTGGTAGTTTGGTCCACGAGAACCCAGAAGTGAAAGTCACACACAGGGGAGACTTCAAATTACCCGCAAATTTGACATGGGAGGAGAGAGAAAGGCTCTCCCAGCAGCTATAACTCATCCAAATGCTGGAGCTTCTCCTCCAGCTCCAGAGAGTTCAGTTTCTTGGGGAACTCAAGCAGACAGGGCGGGCAGTGAAGATGAGTTTCGGCAGCTAGCAAGCGGGAAGTTCCCGCTTCCTGACATTTGTTTCTTTAAATGAGCAGAATTAACATCACGCTGCTATAAGGTTTGCGAATTGGATTTCCTCAGGCTGGGAGAATGGAAAACATAAGGAGGGAAAAAAAGGGGGACAGAATTTTACAAAAGACCTGGATGCTGCCCTCTCTCCGTCCAGGCAGCTTCGGCTGAGGGACAGAGACAGAGCGACTCAGGGCAAGTGCCGCAGTCAGCCGGCGCCCCGGGGCTTTGTGAGACCTCCATCTTCCCTGGTGTCCCAGACAGGAAGGAGTCTGCCCCCAAGGTGGGAGACCGGGATTCGACCCCTGGGTCAGGAAGGTCCCCTGGAGAAGGAAATGGCTACCCACTACCACATTCTTGCCTGGGAAATACCATGGACAGAGGAGCCTGGCAGGTTACAGTCCATGGGGTCATAGAGAGTCGGACACGACTGAGCAATTAACACACACAGACACACACACACACACCATCTTATTCTCAGAGGAGTATCTTCCTGAAGACACCCCCGATCCCAGGAAACCCCCAAATGAAAAACTCGGGCCACGGCGGGAGCCTCTCACCATTTCATCTCTGCAGACCACCCGAAGGATGACTGCTTCATCACGGCTTTGACCGCTCCGAGGATGGGGGTCTCATACCTGGCAGGACCCAGCCCCAGAAATCGCTGCCCGAGGCCAGGGTGGGATTAGGACACAGTGAGTGCTCGGCTGCACTGCCCCTGCAAGCTGCTGGGTGCACTTTTAAACCCTGTTCTCATTCTTCCCAAGAGACACTGAGGCCATTCTAGGCTGGGGGATTCACTCCGGAAAGCCCCTGTCTGGGAAGGAAAGCTCGGGCTTCTTCTAGGACCCCGTCTCTTCAGCTTCGTAGGACGTCCCACAAACCACGGTAGCATGCAGAGTGTCGTGTGCGGGTCCCTCAGCCGTTGCTGAGTCTGGACTGCAGCCCACCAGTCTCCTCTCTCTAGGGAACTCTCCAGGCAAGAATACTGGAGTGGATTGCCGTTCCCTTCTCCAGAAAGCAGCTGTAATCCTGTGTGAAGCCCCGTCCTGCACGGAGAAGCAGTGGGGAGAGAGCTACGTGGACTCCTGTGGAAGCTGAGTATGCCGGTCACAGTTGAGAGTACACTGGCACTGTGTGGGTTGGTGAGGGCCTGTCCACCTCCTGAGCCAACTCTCCCTTCCCCTGAGGTGGAAGTTCTACTTCAAGCTGGGGTTACAAGCTCCAATGTCCCAGGGTCCAGGCAGGTACAAGTCAGAAACAAGCCCCGTGGGGACAGCAGTGATCAAGAAAGCATGTGTCCCAGCGAAGGGGGCAGCCGCTCCTCAACTCAGCTCAACGAGAGCCACTTGGGAACATGGGCTGTTTTGCCAGATCTTCTGGTTTCCCAAAGGATGCTAGAAATCCACATTAATTTTTCTGTGGAAACTCCTGATTTTTTAAAAGAGGGTGTGCGTGTATGCTATGGCGCTTCAGTTGTGTCCAACTCTTTGCGACCCTATGGACAGTAGCCTCCCAGGCGCCTCTGTCCATGTGATTCTCCAGGCAAGAATACTGCAGTGGGTAGCCACACCCTCCTCCAGTGGATTTTCCCAATCCAGGGATTGAACCCACGTCTCCAGCATCTCTTGCACTGTCAGGCATGATCTTTACCACTAGCACCACCTGGGAAGCCTAACAATTAGTTCTTTTGTGTGTGTGTGTGTCTCTTTTTCTGTTTTGCATATAGGGTTATCATTACCATCTTTCTAAAGCAATTAGTTCTTATTAAAAACAAGTCCCCACCACCAAGTCCACCCATGGGTAACTGATTTTGGCTAGAGGGGTGCTAGGAAGGTACAAGTCAGAAACAAGCCCCGTGGGGACAGCAGTGATCAAGAAAGCATGTGTCCCAGCGAAGGGGGCAGCCGCTCCTCAACTCAGCTCAACGAGAGCCACTTGGGAACATGGGCTGTTTTGCCAGATCTTCTGGTTTCCCAAAGGATGCTAGAAATCCACATTAATTTTTCTGTGGAAACTCCTGATTTTTTAAAAGAGGGTGTGCGTGTATGCTATGGCGCTTCAGTTGTGTCCAACTCTTTGCGACCCTATGGACAGTAGCCTCCCAGGCGCCTCTGTCCATGTGATTCTCCAGGCAAGAATACTGCAGTGGGTAGCCACACCCTCCTCCAGTGGATTTTCCCAATCCAGGGATTGAACCCACGTCTCCAGCATCTCTTGCACTGTCAGGCATGATCTTTACCACTAGCACCACCTGGGAAGCCTAACAATTAGTTCTTTTGTGTGTGTGTGTGTGTCTCTTTTTCTGTTTTGCATATAGGGTTATCATTACCATCTTTCTAAAGCAATTAGTTCTTATTAAAAACAAGTCCCCACCACCAAGTCCACCCACGGGTAACTGATTTTGGCTAGAGGGGTGCTAGGTTTCAGTCTCTGCTTGAGATGGCCTCTCAGTGTAAGAACTGACCTGAAATTCCCCTGAGAGAAGTCATGACCCCCACTCTGAAGGCGCGGTCTCCTGAAAAGCTTCTCCAAGCTCCCACAGTCCTGATAACCCTTGTGGGGAACAGCTCACAGCTTTTCTGTGCGTCCCCTAGCACAAGTGATCCTTATGCAATCTCATTTTCTGCACCGGACAGGAAAGGACCCAGAGGCTAGGAGAGTGTGGAGAGGCACAGAAGAGGCCAGAGTGCTGGCCTGGGGTCGGGGTCCTCCTCTGCCCCTTGCTGTCCGGGTGCCACCGTCCAGACCACACCCTGAGCGCACAGGCCCCACAGACCCCGGGGAGGCCACGCAGACTCGGCCCAGACACAGCTGGCTGCAGCCACTCTGAGGGGCAGAGCTCCAGCACCTCCTCAGGGTGTGGGGGTGGTGATGGGGCCCAGCAGATGAGGTCTGTTTACTTAAAAACAGCTGACATCAGGACTTGCCTAGTGATCCAGTGGCTAAGACTCCACACTCTCAGTGCAGGGGGCCTGGGTTTGATTCCTCACCAGGGAACTAGATATTATATGCTGCAACTAGGAGTTCTCAGGCCTGAACTAAAGACCCTACATGCCTCAACCAAAAGGTCCCATGTACTAAGATCCAAAGAAAATAAAATAAAACACCCATCACAAAAGCTTTGTTCAGGCAAGACTTCTAATGCTATTGGTTGTGAGTGCAATAAATAAATAAATAAATAAAATAAGGGTCACCATCAAGTTATTTTAAATAGGTGGTTGCAGCTGGTAGTCTTTGGGACCAGATCTGCCCTACTGGGACACTTGCTTGGTTGGCTGGCACTAACACATGCATGGATTTAGGCACGCACACGCACTCACAGCATTTACTGCCTTGAGACAGTGCTTGCAATCCCAGCTGACCTGCACTGCCACCACTCTTGGCTCCCGGCTTGATTTTTAAACTTGGACAAGTTTCTTTCTGTGTTTCAGCTTCCTCATTTGGGAAATGAAGCAATCTCAAAGCTGTTGTGTTTTTCCTAGTGAGGGGTAAATGCATGAATGTCAGTACAGTTTGGCACAGAGTACAGTGATTAGTACCTGTGATTGGCCATGATTATCAGTGCTGCCTTGCACCCATTGCCTTTTCACAGGGGGTCGGAAGTATTTGAGTTTGCAACTCCTGTTTCAAACGTATAACCATCTACTCTAGGCCACTCAACCCAGATGCCCTCTTTCTTTCTGTCTTCCAGCACTTTCTCACCATAGTCCCATGGTCAGAGGACATGTCTTTCCCCTTATCTTTTACACTTCTTTTTTTAAAATTTGTTTTAATTGGAGTATAGTTGCTTTACGATGTTATGTTCATTTCTGCTGTGCAGCAAGGTGAGTCAGGCCTACAGACACACACGTCCCCTCTTGTTTGAATTTCCTTCCCAGTCAGGTCACCACAGAATACTGAGAAGAGTTCCTTGTGCTGTGGAGTAGGTTCTCATTAGTTACCTATTTTATACACAGTAGGCTTACACTTCTGATCTTCATCATAACTTACAAGGAAAGTGGATTTATCTCTATTATGCAAATAAATACCTTAAAGTCCAGAAAGGCTAAGGGCATTCCTGGAGTGACACAGCAGGGGAGGGGCAGAGTTGAACTCAGAACAAATGCAGATCTGCCTGCTCTTCCCCTCCACCTGGACTTCTGGCTGCTCTCAGGAAGGGACTATTTGGCAGCCTCGACCCTCCTCCCCGCACGGTAAATGCCAGGATGAGCTGCGTGCCACCTGTCTCCTCTGATGAGAGTTCAGCTCACATGAAGCCACAGTCCCCACTCCTCAATCTGCCCTACTGGGACACTTGCTTGGTTGGCTGGCACTAACACATGCATGGATTTAGGCACGCACACGCACTCACAGCATTTACTGCCTTGAGACAGTGCTTGCAATCCCAGCTGACCTGCACTGCCACCACTCTTGGCTCCCGGCTTGATTTTTAAACTTGGACAAGTTTCTTTCTGTGTTTCAGCTTCCTCATTTGGGAAATGAAGCAATCTCAAAGATGTTGTGTTTTTCCTAGTGAGGGGTAAATGCATGAATGTCAGTACAGTTTGGCACAGAGTACAGTGATTAGTACCTGTGATTGGCCATTATTATCAGTGATGCCTTGCACCCACTGCCTTTTCACAGGGGGTCGGAAGTATTTGAGTTTGCAACTCCTGTTTCAAACGTATAACCATCTACTCTAGGCCACTCAACCCAGATGCCCTCTTTCTTTCTATCTTCCAGCACTTTCTCACCATAGTCCCATGGTCAGAGGACATGTCTTTCCCCTTATCTTTTACACTTCTTTTTTTAAAATTTGTTTTAATTGGAGTATAGTTGCTTTACGATGTTATGTTCATTTCTGCTGTGCAGCAAGGTGAGTCAGGCCTACAGACACACACGTCCCCTCTTGTTTGAATTTCCTTCCCAGTCAGGTCACCACAGAATACTGAGAAGAGTTCCTTGTGCTGTGGAGTAGGTTCTCATTAGTTACCTATTTTATACACAGTAGGCTTACACTTCTGATCTTCATCATAACTTACAAGGAAAGTGGATTTATCTCTATTATGCAAATAAATACCTTAAAGTCCAGAAAGGCTAAGGGCATTCCTGGAGTGACACAGCAGGGGAGGGGCAGAGTTGAACTCAGAACAAATGCAGATCTGCCTGCTCTTCCCCTCCACCTGGACTTCTGGCTGCTCTCAGGAAGGGACTATTTGGCAGCCTCGACCCTCCTCCCCGCACGGTAAATGCCAGGATGAGCTGCGTGCCACCTGTCTCCTCTGATGAGAGTTCAGCTCACATGAAGCCACAGTCCCCACTCCTCGCTTTTGCTGCATGGACACTGAGGCTGTGCCGTCTGAACTGTGGCACGTGAACTCTTTGTTGCAGCATGTGGGATCTAGTTCCCCGAGCAGGGATTGAACCTGGGTCCCCAGCATTGGGAGCACGCAGTCTTAGCCAGAAGATGAGCAGGAAGTTTGGAGTTGAATTTGAAAGGACATGTCCTGGCAAGTGATGGGTGATGTCTGTGCTGGGTTCCTGAAGCTAGAGATGGGCTTGACCACCCGGACAGCCACAGTCCTCCCCAGGACCCGCGAGCCCTCCCTCCTCTGCCCCTTCAGTTCCTGCCTCTCTACTGCTCCCAGTCAGAGGGCGGTCCTGAAACTACAGCCACATGGCAACTGCAGGCAGGGAGGGAGGGACAAGGCCTGACTAGCTTTAATGGGATTCAGATGCTGCACAGGGCAGGGTAAGTCTCTTTCCTTCTCGCCTGAAGGGGACCGATGTGATGGGTGGAGAACAACATAAAATAAGGGTTACAATTAATTCTCATTGCTCATCATGCTTCAGTTCTACAAAGTCACTAGGCACGATGAATTAGTGAGTGCTGAACCATCGCTTCTAGGGGAAATTGAGGGGTAGGTCCCTGTGAGCCCCTGGTCACAATGTTTTTGTTAGCTGATCAATATATAACCTTGTTTGATGCATGTTTCTGTTTAAAGACATCTTGTTGGATATATATTGTTGATCTGTTTACATTGTACTCACAACTAATAGTACTAAAAGTCTTGCCTGAACAAAGCTGATGTAACAAGTATTTTCTCTGTAAAGCACACAGCCCTTCTGGACTATGCTTTAGGTCCATTTTAAACAGTGAAATCACCTACAAAAGCACAAATATGCAAAAAAGTGTGGCACTAAATACACTGTGGATTGGACACTTGTTTATAGTCTGGGAGCTGAAACAAGAACTCAGAGCGTGGCCTTTTTTTGTTTCAGCTGAGGGCACGCGTGTAGGGTGACTCAAGTTTTTTGCTGCTCTGTGTTTAGGAATGACCATGAAAACATATGAGTATGGATTTTGAGATTACAAATAAATGTTAGCAAATACAGGGTCTGTGAATAATGAGACTACAACCGTATTTCCTCTGTTCCAAAGGCAGACCCAAACTCAGGCTGGGAGATGTGGAGGACGTGGTGCAGGTGGGAGCAGGGTCAAGGAGAAGGGAAGTAGATGGTGAAGGGACCCCTGGCCATGCTGGCACGTCTACGGGGGCACCTGGGGAAGGGAAAGTGGGGAGCACGTCCAGCTGTGTACCAGTGTGATCACGGATGAAGGAGGTGAGGCAGCTGGTGTTTCTGCTCCAATGGGTCAGACCCACATGGAGGCCCTTAAGAGTCTATCTAAAACCAGACCTTCCAACTGTCATCTCATAAAAATTACTATAGCCCATGGGGTTGCAAAGAGTCAGACATGACAGCGACTAACACATGCACCTTAGGTCCCCTTATCTCACTGCCAGCCCTCAGTTGAGTCCCTTGCATCACCCCTTGGGGGTAGATGATGAGTGCAGAGTAGGGGGCAGGGGTGAGCAGAGGGGAGAGGGGCTGAGGCTCAGGGGTTGTGCAGAACGCATGCTCTGGCTCTGCATGGCCCTGTCTCAGCGTTCTGCTTCCTGGGACATGACGGGGGGAGACTGAGAGGGCCAGAGCAGAGGGACATGAAGGCACTGCTGCCCTGATGCTCTGCTCCAGTCTATCAAGGTCCTGAGGCTGGCTTACATTTTCCGCAGGTTGGGCAACTTCTTGAAGATGCCAGTGGCCTCAAGAACAGATATCTCATTGTCGTTCAGTCGCCTGCATGGGAAGCAAGCAGATGAGGGGGTGGATGAGCTCTGGAAGGGACACCTCTCCCACCGGCCCCCCATCCTCCCAGGCCTTCAGCTGAGCTGATGCCCAGACCTCGCTCAGCCCAGGTCCAGAGCAGCGCAAACTCCGTCTGTGTGACTCCTCAGCACGGGGCGCCCAGCAGTGAGAGGAGGGGTGTGCGGAGGGTGGAAAGGGAGGCCAGGCTCCTCTGTGAGGAGGAGCCCCCACGATAAGGGCCTATTCAACTTGATGAACACTCAGCACTTGAACAATCAAGGGCCAGAGATTTGCCTTCATTTTGTAGGGGTACCAATGACCACTTAAACTTCTTGAGAGGTCTCCCCAGATTCTCCCAACTCTGCAAGCCACTCAGCGCTTTCCTGACCAGGTCCCTCTGCTAAGGGCAGCTCAGGGACTCCATGCTCAATGTTCACACAAACCCAGGGAGAGCAGGAGAAAAAGAAAGGCCCTACTGTGATTCGTGAAGTCAAAGAGAATAATAACAACAACAACCAATTACACAGGGCTCACTCCACGCTCAGATGTAAGACGGAGCCTGTGCTCGCCTCCTCTGACCTCATCTTCCTCACCCCTGTGGGAGGGAGGTATCATCACCTCCATTTTACAGCTCAGGATCTGACGCTCAGATCTAAGAAGCAACTTGCCCAATCTCAGGAGAACTAGAAAAGGCAGGAGTCAGGCCCAGGTATGTCAGTCCCCACCTGCTGCACCCTCATCACCCCACGCTGGAATTTTGAGCTCGCTCACTTCTGGGTAAATGCCTCTTTATCAGCAGGGATAGCCGGAGGCTCAGATATATCTGATGGTTCTCGCTGTTTTCTCACTTCAGGTCATATCCATCTTTCTGGTTATGTTGTAAGCTTCCTAAGGGCCAGGAAGGGTGGTCTGCCTTATTCATGTGGAAACGGGTGGACCTGGCAGTGCCTGGCTCCCAGTGAGTATTCCGATAATCTTTGTAGAATGAATGAACTGTCTCTATTTGCAAGTAAACAGTCCTCAGTGGAGGCGTGAGGGTCTGCACTCGGCTGGGAAGAGGCAGACAGCAAGGAGCACCCGGGTCACTGAGCTGTGGGGTGGGGGGTTGCCTCTAGAAGACCACCCCAGCCCTGGCTGGCTCAGGGAGATGGGCGTGGGGGTGTGCAGGGGTCCCTGCCCCTGTGGCACTCACAGGTCGGTGACGTATTCGGGGAGGTGGCTGGGGACGCGGGCCAGCTTCTGGTTGGAGCAGTCCACGATGGTGCCCTCGCAGCGGCACCTGTCCGGGCACACGAGGTCCATGAAGCACTCACTGCTGAACCTGCTGCGGTAATCTTCCGAGCCTGGGGGGCCAAAGAGGGGGTGTCAGCATCGGCAGCCAGCGCCGGGGCAGGGCTGTGGGCAGTGGGGACGGGGCGGGCATGGGGTGGGGGGCGGCCCAGAGCCAGAGGCAGCACTGCCCGCAGGCTGCGGCCGCCCCGCTGTGCCTCCTGCCCCTCAGCCTCCAGGCTGCTTGCTTCCCTTTGGTCTTTGTCATTCAACACTTTCAGGTCTAACAGCACAAGCTCTATGAGTTCTTAAGCTTCTGTGGGTCACAGGGACCTTTTTCCACGTTGGGGATTTGGTGTACAATTTAGGGGTGTCTCAGTCTGTGATGCCCACCATCATGGACCCTCTAAATACATTTTGAAGACATTTTGAAGGGGTTTTGATGGAAGCTATACTGGGGTGGGAATGAGGTCAGGGAAGGGGGTGACAGACTCAGCTGTCTTCAGGGACAAAGCAGGGCAGAAACGATAAAGGGGCCCAGCACACGGCAATCAAACCACTGACACGTGATTTTATTATTGGGAAGTAATCATGAGAGTTGGGGTACGGGGGGATTGATGCCTGCTGCCCTGATGCTTGGGAATTTGGCTCAGGGTTGCCTGAGAATTCTTTAAAAAAAATATTGGTAGTGAATTCATACGTAAAACACTGTGAAGACAAGCACAGCTCTTGTGAGGGTTAGATACACCTGCTGCCTTTGAAAGGAAGCTCTGTTTAACTACAGTGAAAAGCCACTTCCAATGAGCTAAAAGTAGTTGGAGCTAAGATTAATGTTTGGAATTGAATTTTTCTTGAGGTTGCACAGTGATGGTAACAGGGCCAGTGATGCACTGTCTTGAGAGATGCCCTCAGGAGCTGCTTTAATGATCAGAAATGATCCCCTGGCACCCGGGAAAACCTCTGTAAGACCAGAAATCTTGCCTGAGCTAAAAGGGAAGCTCTGATTCTTCTATCAGACATGAGCCAGCTGATTGGGGTCGAGTCTCTTTTATTTTCACTTTCAACATATCATCAGCACCATGACAGGCACAAGAGCCTGGCTCACATTTGTCCAATGCATAAATGGGTGTCAGCACATAAACTGCCCCGTGCTTAGGTCCACAGTGCTTCAGGGAATGTGAATGTCACTTGTTTGCCTGGCTAGCTGAGGTGCGCCTTGCCCATCTTACGTATGTTAGAAGCAGAATGGGCACCTGCAGTACAGAGATCTGGGCAGTAGAGGGCGTGGGTTTGCCCAGACTTCGCTACTTAAACCTCAATCTCTCTGCCTGTGAAATGGGAATTACATAGTTGTCCCTATCTCACAGGGGTTGTCATGAAGATTCAAGGAAGATCAAGATTTTGGTGAGTTTCTGGGAAAGGGTCAAAAGGGCCAAGAGTTCTACAGATGTTTGTGATTCTGTTTTGTTTCTTTTTTCCCCTAGGATGTAGTGGAATATGTGACAGGTCCGAGGCCATTACCATCAGCATAGCGAGTGATAATAGCTGACATGTATGGAGCATGAATCACGAGCCAGGCACTATTCTTGGCACTTCAAACAGATGACTCCATTAAATCCTTTCCACACTCTGGGACTATTACGACTCCATGTTACAGATGAGGACACTGAGGCCTGCAGGTCATTCAGGACGTGGCAGAGAAACAAACCCAGGCAGACTGCCGCCAGGGTCTGTGTGACTAATACCATGCTTACTGCAGATCTGCTTTTGGACAAAACCTTAACCTCAGTCCTGCGAATGATAATACAGTCAAGTCGAGGTGAACTGAATGGTATTTTCTGCTAGCGGGCTTCGGGGAGACAGGAAGGAAGGAAATGTCTCCACTGACTGGTTTGTTTTCCACTCCTCACACTTTCTGCCCACAGTAATGCCTTACTGGGGAGAGACTTGGGGGGTCTCTGATTCTGAAGGGACATCATCTACCTAAAACAGAAGGTCAAGGCTTGGACCTGTCTCCTTTCCCTCTCTGCTCCTTCCCCATCCACCTCCTTCACCCCATTTTATCCCAGCCTTGTATAAGCAAAATCCATGCAGGTATCCCTGGTTATTTGGATGGCTTCCTGGTCCAATGTATTATGCAAATCTCTTGCCCTTGGCTTGCCAGCAGCCATCCCACTGAATAACTCTGACCTGGGCCATTTTCTCCCAGACACAGCAGTGAATCTTGGGTGAATCACAGCGTGCAGACCCTGCAGAATGACAACGCTCTCTTATTCCCTGACGGGGGTTCCCCATGGTGGTAAAGAAGCTTTCTGTGCATGCATGTATTTTTCCTTGAGAAGGTGTCTACAGTGGGATCCTTGCAAATGGAGGAGACCTGAGTGATCAAAGCCAGAAAGACAGGAGGGAGGACAGTTTGCTCACCAACACAATGAGCCTGAAGATGCGCGCTGGCTGGGCCGCGGCCAGGGACAGTCACTGATTAAATGCATTTTCGTTTTAATCAAGGTGAGAGCATGTGTGGTTAGTGGGAATCGCTCTCTGTAGTATACTTAGACTACAACTGGCTGACCTCTGCAATGGAGCCGCCGACCCATTTTAATGAAATGATTTTGCAATTAGATTCGATGGACTAATATGTTCTTCCCAACATTTTTCCCCTGATGTTTTTGTTATTGCCCTGGTTTGTAATAACGAGGGGGTCAGAGTGTGATATTTTCTATGAGTGGGAGCCAGAAATGTTAATAACAGCGTATGCACGAGACTGAAAGGGTGTGTGCCACAGCCAGGGCCAGCCTGAAACGCCACCTCCATCACTTCATATTTCATTACCCAAATTTCCCAGGGTTTCTCAGAGCCATTTGTTATGTCTAATGCTCATAACTACCCAAAAGTATTTTTAACTTTTCTAGAGCTTTAAAAGTCAATTTCAATCTCCATGCATATTCGTCACTGACAGAAATACTTAGTAGGAGAGGAGTAACTTAAATAGGCTGTCATTTCTTCTCTTTGGGAGAGTTCAGAGAGGAGAGATATCAGAGGATTTGAAGAAGGGTCATAAAACTAGACCCTGGCTGAAACAGGCTCTTGGGGGAACTGATGTCACCTGGCATTTCACCAGCTTCTGCCCCTGGAGCCCTCCTCCCCCTTGGCAGGCAGTTCAGAACGACGACACTTGGAACGTGAGCACAGAGAAACTTTAAGAGACCAGGGGAGTGGAATGCACAGCAATGCGACTTTATTATGAGCCCTGCCCTGCCACTGCTTCCCAGGAAAGAGTGTGTGCTACACTGGCATGGCTTAGGGCTGGGGCAGGTGAGGAGCCAGAGCTCCCACTCTTTGGACGGACTCGGCTCTGAGGCTGGCGCTGGGCCCAGGGTGGCTGCTGTCTCAAGCAGTCTGCATTCTGCACCATCCTCTGGGCAATGAGTTTGCTGAACAGAAGTCATGGATGCACCATTATCAGAGGACCAAGGAAAGGCCAATGCACAGAACTATCCTCCTCTAGCTCCCTAAGGTGTGTGGGATGAAAGAAGGAAAGGAGCAGAAAGAGGAATTGGGGGGAGTAGGAGGCTTGCTGGGGCTCTTTGGCTTGAAAGGACAAGCAGAGGTCAGAGGTAATGCATGGAATCAAGAGAACACTGCTAGGCACACCGTTATCCACTCGTGGGCAAAGGTTGAGGGACCAGATATCAGTTGGCTGGAAAACAGCAATTGTTCAGCAGGAACTTGGAGACTGGTTGGACAGACAGCTGTTCTAGTGAGCTCTGCCCTCAGAGTCAGACATGAGTCAGCCATCTGCCTAGCAGCAGAGAGAAATGGCCACAGCCTGCAGCTGGGCACTTCCTGGTCACAGCCAGCTGAGGAGGGCCAGGAAAGCTTGGCATGCCCCCTCTGTTCAGAGGGAAAGGGAGTTTCCTGGGCCTGAGGACTTGTTCTGTTCGGAATGGGTCTTGGTATGGTATTCATGCTGGCGGGGAGGAGCTGTGTAAAGAGGGATGTTTGCTCTCTTTCTTGCTCAAGCCATTGTCAGTTAACAGAAGGAAGCTTGAAAGGGAGTGTCAAAAGCTTTTTTCAATATCCTATCAAGTCAAGTCAATGTCTTTTTGATTTTGTAATTCAAGGCAAAGGGCCTTGTCCATAGCTGGGAAGGCTGAGGATCACAGCTGTAAACAGCATCCATGTTGGAATCTGACGACTCTGGGCAAGTGAGTTGACCTCTCTGTGCCTCAATGTAAAAAAAAGGTGTTCGTCACTCAGCCGTGTCCAACTCATGCAACCCCTGTAGCCCGCCGGGCTCCTCTGTCCATGAGACTCTCCAGGCAAGAATACTGGAGTGGGTAGCCATTCCTTTCTCTAGGGGATACTTATCTGCAAAATGGGATTGGTAGGGTTGTTGTGAAGATTGAACACGGTGATGATGTAAAATAGCTCAGCACTGGGTCTAGAGTAAGCACTCAACCCATGGTACAAGAATCCAGATAAACAGGATTCTCCATAGCTCGGCAATGCTGGACCCTGGCTCCGGGGGGTAACTTGAGAGAGAGAAGACAGTAAGAGCCGCACATCACCACGGGAGCCCAGAGCGCAGAGCCAGAGCCATCTCTCACGTGGGCCAGGACACAGACTGCAGGGTATCAACCAACAGCACCATCTTCTGGTTACGTGGGGTCTAGGGTTTATCAAGAAATAAACAGAATGGGAGGCCCCAAGACCCCTCTCTTTATTATCAGAGGCAGGAGGGTCTGCACTCCCCTACATGGTAGTCAACTAGAATCACTGAGGAGTCCAGCACTTTGGTCTCATGTTCACTGTGCTTGACAGCTCGAGGAAAAAGCCTGGATGTGAGGCTGTGAGGGGACCAGGGTCAAAGTCCTCATGAGGAGAGGGGTCAGTTCCAGGAGAAGCCTCAGGCTACACCCAGTGTCTCGGACTCACGGATGTTTCAGCACTCTCATGCTCACATTAATTCTTAATGCTCCTGGTAAAGACGGTGGGTGAGGGGTGGGTCACCACCAGTATGACGTTCGGGTTAATTACCAGTTGGGAAGATGACCCTGGGCTGGGACTCTTC